ATAAACGCAGTACTAAAGCTGTCATTCTCAACATCCACATGAATATTAAAATCCCCTACAATAATAACTTTGTCCGTTTTAAGGACTAAAGTTGACAAAAACTCTGCAAATTCAGATAAGAATTCAGAGTACGGACCAGGTGCTCGGTACCTATAACAAAAAGACTTGGTTGCAGTGATTTCCAACTTGGGTGCGAAAGACTAAGAACAAGACTTTCAAATGAGTTATAGTTAGTTTAGGTTTAGAGCTGTAGTAGGCTAGAGTCGAAGATAGCTGCAACTCCACCTCCTGGCCTGTGCCTCGAGGAATGTGAGTATTAATATGACTGGGAGGGGTGGATTCATTTAGGCTAACATATTCTCCATCACCCAGCCAGGTTCAGTAAGACAAATAAATCAATATCATAATCTGATATTAGTTCATTTACTAGTACACTTTAGAAGAGAGAGATCTGATGTTTAAGAGTCCACATTTAACTCTCTATTCGTTTGCACTATTGCTCTTGTGGTTTTAATTTTTATGAGGTTTTATGCACAGCTCCTCTTCTGTTTACCTTTTTAAATAATTTCGATGGTCGGGGGGCAGACACCGTCACTATAGGATTTTCACTAAGTAACTCCTGAAATGGAGGAGCAGAGAAGTGTAGACTGCGACTCTGCGTAGGGTTTTGGGTGGGTAACTGCTGAAAAAGAAGGGCAGAGAAGTGTGTTAAACTGCGACTCTGCCTCCTGGTCTCAACTCTGGGTTGTCATGGATTTGGTCCACTAATAAACTTGGCCAGATTTCTAGAAATGAGAGCTGCTCCTTCCCAAGTGGGATGGATGCCGTCTCTCCGGATCAGACCAGGTCTTCCCCAGAAAGTCTGCCAACGATCAACAAAGCCCACATCGTTTGCTGGACACCACCTCGACAACCAGCGGCGGAATGACGACATGCGGCTATACATGTCATCACTGGTCAGATTTGGCAGGGGTCCAGAGAAAACTATGGTTATCAGTGTGTTAAAATTTTTAATTCTGTACAACTTTTCATAGATCTCATTAACCATATCTTGCCTGCTGTCAGATGTAAATGACTGCAGTGACATTAATGCAGAGCAGGAGTCTCTACAAAGAATAACTTTTTTAATTTGTAATTCTTCTATCTGCTGTAATGCTGTTACAATTGCCAACATCTCGACTGTATACGGATAAATGATCTGATGTCCTTCTTTTAACAGAAACATGTAAGGCAGGAATACTGAAAGCAAAACCTGTTCTGCCTGTATTAGCATCCTTGGATCCATCTGTATATACCTGGACAAATGTTTGATACAGTGTCTGTAACCTATCTTCAACCAATACTGTAATATTTCCACAACCTTTTTGACCTGCATTTTTCCCAGGAAATATAAGTCAACTGACACTGAAGGAAACATCCAGGGTGGTGTTACAGATAATGGCACTGTGGGATATATCTTCCTTGACTTAATGTCATGTCTCCAGCTATTTCCTCACATTTCCATGCAAAACACCCCCGTTTGGCCCTTTCACTCTCCCAACATGGGAGAAGTATCTTTGTTGTAGGATGTCGATTCTCAGACTGCCCTCGCAGATTTACCCATTAGTGCATCATTAACTGTTTACATCTAATATTCAGCGGCATTTCCCCACCTCAACCTGAAGAGCAGACACAGGAGTTGTTTTTACAGCCCCAAAACAGAGTCTCAAGGCTTGAGCTCTCACCACCTCCAACTTCGTTAATGAAGTTCTGCTCATCCATAAGCGATACACCCATAACCTAATACTGATCTAATCAGTGCTATATACACATTTTTAATAGCAGCCCTACTTGTCAAATAGGTTGAGATCCCAGCGCTCTATAATAACCAAACAATGGCTCACTACAGCCATGGGACTGTAAGGTACTTTCCAACTGATTGTGTAGAAGTACCATATGCAATGTATTGATGTAACAACCATACGGTAATCAACTAAGAAATGAAAAGAATATGATTAACTACAAAATGAAATGAAGGAGATCATGATTTTAATAGTATTAATTAAAATGTGTGTGTGGAAAGAATAAGAAAAATGTAAGAAAAATGAAGGAACATGTTGAGACATGTTGACTTGACTGTAAAAGACTGAGATGGGTGTAATGGTCTTATGACTATGAGCCACTGGGACAGAAGGATCAGCAGGGGAAAATGAAATAGCCAAACAAGGACATCTCTGGCCCAACTGAATTTAAGGATGAACAAGCTGACAGTAGTCATGTAGACAGAAAGACGGTGGCGGCTGATTTGACAAAGAAGCTCAGCTACGGAGTAGGATATATAAAGAGGAGTCAGATCGGGGTTATTCTTCGGCAGACCTCAGAGGCATCGAACTCGGAGCAAGACCATCACCGCACCAGACCAAGAGCCCAAGACAAGAGACGGGGATCTGAACAGCAAACAACTAGAGATTTCTTCAGGGACTTCAAGAGATCGAGCCACAGAGGGTAACCACAA